CATATGGGCTGTACAGACTAATGGCATGTTGTAAAACTTCAACACTGTTTATTTAATACGTTAATAAAGAAAAAAAGTGAAGAAAATGAGGTTTTCCATGACACGAGGCCTTTAAATCAGATTAAAACGATTACTAGTAATTGATTGACTCATCTATACTGGTTTGTAAACCTCAGCCTAACGAAAAACAACGATAGAAGTGTGTCAATAAAGCGAAAATACCCCCCAGTTGTTTCACTGCTTCAATACAGCCGGGGCAGAACAGTGGAAAAGGTTGCTGTACTACACTGCCATCTTGCGGTCGTGCCGAGAACTGCAGTCTGAGTGGGGAAAAACATCGTTGTCCAGCTTGCCTGGAGTAATCAGTCATTTGCAAAGTTACAGCGTTCATAGTTTCTCAGTAAACCACCTGATGCAGTCCATGAAGTCATGTGCCCTAGAGCAAGAAAGCTAAAGCTAAACCTGCAGTCACATCTATACATCTGCAAAGCAGCCTGCACCCGAGCAAAGAGATCAACACGTAGGATTAAAAGTGCATAATAAGGCCTAAATCTTTATGTAGACCACTTTATACGCTGTAAGTTCAGCCTACCTGACCTGCAGGTCAAGATGCAGATGCAAAATTATTCCAGAATAAAGCTCAGATTGAATTCTCCCCTTCTGTATGAGCCGCAGTGTGCTGGACCCTTCACACCTGAGCTGGGGGAGTAAACAGTGTACTCTGCCTGTCAGATGTGTGAGTAGTACATTTGGGTTTCCTGCAATCTGCCTGTAAATTTCCTGTTTACACCTCAATCACAAAGCCAGCAGCCGCACTGAGCCACAGGGGCTTCTGCAGATGCAAGAACGCATGTCTAGGAATCCAGACGCCAGATTTGGTTCATTTTAAATGCACGACGAATGCAAACGTTTTGTGCTCTGGATTTGCTTCAGAATTCAGAAACAGTCATAAACACCAGTATAACAGAACCAGAGCCACTATATATATATTATTTAGATATTTTATTTTTTTTTTGGAAAAAAAAAATACAATTATAATAATAAAATACATTTTTGTAAAATGTAAAATTTGAATATTTATTCATGTGCGTTATTTTGATATTATTTTAATGTAACTCAAGCTTTAATTCACATGTGGCAATCGTCAGAGGAAATCTACGCAGCTACTATCTGTTTCGTGCATCTACGTCACCAAAACAGGGAAATCCTTTAGCGTGGGGGGCGCGTTCCAATCCGAAGCGTCGGTGCCTGTGCCCTACTCCCTACGAGTGCTCAGCGCTGTGTTCTCCACAGTGAAAACTCCTCCTCATTCCAAACGTGCAGCATACTGGACCTTTTTCCCAGGTATTCCAGCTCTACAGAAGCGGGAATGTCACCACACTCACTTTTATGTGTTTCTACCGTTATTAGTCTTTATGTTTTTTGATTATTTAATCCATTCTATTCCTGCACCCCATGAGCCGGTTTATGAGGAGTCTGGCCACTTCCTATTTCCTTCGTTATATCAGAAAACAGGACTGCAAAACAGCAGAGGGCGCCCACGAGTGAGTCCTCAATAAGTGGAAGTAAATGGAGTTCAACGGATAAAAACGAAAACTTTTAGAGAGGAGAATTTCCACTCTGTAATGTCTTCCAGGTTTCTCAAACGCTAGAGGGCGCTCCCGAGTCCAAAATGAATGGGTTGAGATGGAGCATTTGAGCAAAATCATAGTTTATAAATGCTTCAACATTTTTAATGTAAAAGAATACAATCATTTCCTGAACACAGAGCAGCATAAAACATTTTAACACTGCTGTTATATTTTTAAGAGCTTTTAAACTCGAGTTATAGGAGTTTGAAACGGTGCCTTGTATACGTTCATGACATCAGTGAGCGCGAACAGCCAATGAGCTGCTCCGCTCGCCAACCAATCAGGACTCAGTAGCAGTAATGTTGGTGTCCTGCTGCCTAAAACCCATTTGCTGTAGAAAAAAGGAAACATTCAGGTGAGTTTTCTTTGCTTTTTAAGTGAAATGCATCCTTCAACTTTCTAAAATGAAAGGAAGGTTCTGGTTCAGTGATTAGAAACTATTTTAACTTGTTTTTATCCTTTTAGCTCCATTTACTCCCATTCATTGAGGACTCGCTTGTGGGCGCCCTCTGCTGTTTTGCAGTCCTGTTTTTGATATATAACAGGGGAAATAGGAAGTGGCCAGTCTCCTCTAAACCGCCTCTGCATGAGGTGCCGTTTTAAACTGCTATAACTCGAGTTTAAAAGCTCTTAAAAATATAACAGCGGTTTTAAAATGTTTTATGCTGCTCTGTGTTCAGGAAATGAATTTATTACTTTACATTAAAAATGTTTAAATATTTATAAACTATGATTTTGCTCAAATGCTCCAACTCAACCCATTCATTTTGGACTCACTTGAGAGCGCCCCCTAGCGTTTGAGAAACCCAGAAGACATCACAGAGTGATAATTCTCCTCCCTACAAGTTCTCTGACAGAACGTCTGGCGAAGAGCACACAGGCAATAAGCTGAATGCTTACAGCATCCTAAGAGGATAGAAATGTGGGAATAAATAGATATGAATAATCGTAATAATATCAATAATCTTTATGATTAGGATGCTCGAATACTAGTGTGCCAATGTTTGTAGCTTCATCAGTCTGTCAACATAAACCTGAACCTGATTGCTTTAGTCAGAGGATCCTGTTTTATAGCCTACATACTAATAAAGTCATTTGATTTAGATGAGATACAGTCAGATACAGAACATTCGGAGGCCATAATGTAACATGCCTTACTTTGTGTGCCTCTGTTTTTAAGTGACACTTCATTTTAAGACTTGAACTTGAATTTATTATTATTATTATTATTATTATTATTATTATTACTATTGTAGCGGTAGCCTGATAGCTGGTTAGCTTTCTGCCATCTGCCCAGCCTACTAGTGAGGGCAGAATATATCCAGTTATAAAGAGAGATATAACGTGTAAACCAGTTAAAGCGAGTCTGTTAGGAGCAAACAGGGAAGTTTAACTGGCAGTTTATCATATAGGTGCATTTTAATGACACCGATTTCAACGTTAACACCTGGGCTTTTTCAAGAAGTCATTATGAAGCCACGTTTTCATGTCTGCTGAAGCTCTGTGCTATTTATGCTTGTATTATTGCGGTTCTTGCCGTAATTTCATCTTCACTCTGCTGTACTAACAGCTGCAAACTGTCTAAAAACACCTCAGATAGGTTTAATTAGACAAAACAATTCCTTAAAAATTAAGCAGGATTTCTTTGACTGAGCTAAAAACAGTAATGGACGATGCTTCCTTTCCCTAACTGGATATTTCAGCCATAATCTCGAAACAGTGGTGGCATGAAAGATAAGAGATATAGGATGTTTTCTTTGTCATAAACAACAACAAGTATGGCAGCTGGCAAGAAAGACGCTCAACCTGTTTCTGAATCATCCTGTCTTTATTTCAGAAATAGTTTTGCATGTCCTTCTAGAAGGTTCCTCTTGGGGAAAGTAAAAAAAAGGAAATATTAGGTATTATTATTCAGAATACAGAGATACAGAGATACATATTCAAATTTTAAGATAAGTTTTAATGTCCAGTAATCTGGACATTTGGACTCAGACTCCTGCAACACAAAACACAATCATTCAGGACTTTCGTTTATTTTGTTAACAGTAGAATAATATGTGTATTTATGATGGACAGTAGATGATGTGTTATGAATTTGGGAATAACATTGTTTTTTTAGTGATTTCAATGGACTTCAATGTCCAGTACAGCGGACGTCCGGATAGCGAGCATGTATCTGTCCGCTGGCTTGATAAGGTCGGCACCCTGCGGACAGTTTGCCACTGTTGGTTCGTCTGTCCTGCATACAACTCTAACCAGTTTTTAATCTCCTCAAACAGATTTAAATGCACACAGGCTTTTATTTTGGAAAATAAACTAAGACAAAGCAGTGTAGAGAGACACTGTAGCCAATTCACTCTCATCTGGGGTGGCCAATCGGATTTCACCTTAATATCACCCTCATCTTAGCACTACTAGCAAAATAATATACTGAGGCTGTGAATTATTATCTTGAGGCCACAAAGTACTTTATAGATGGCACAAATTAACATATTAAGGCCACAAATTACTACATTGAGGCCATAATTTACTATAGTGAGGCCACAGTTTACTATATTGAGGCCACAAATTAATATATTTAGGCCATAATTTCTAGAGGCCTCAAATTACTAGAGTGAAGCCATAATTTACTATATTGAGGCCACAAATCATTACATTGAGACCATAATTTACTATATTGAGGCCACAAATTACTATATTGAGGCCACAAGTTACTATAGTGAGGCCACAATTTACTATATTGGGACCACAAATTACTATATTGAAGCCATAAATTAATATATTTAGGCCATGATTTCTGGAGACCTAAAATTACTACATTGAAGCCATAATTTACTATATTGAGGCCACAAATTACTATAGTGAGGCCACAATTTACTATATCAAGACCACAAATTAATATATTAAGGCCACAAACTAAAATAATTAAGCCGTAATTACTATAGTGAGGCCACAAATTAATATATTTAGGCCATAATTCACAATATTGAGGCAACCATTTACTAAATCGGGGCCATAAATTGCTATATTGATTCCAGGAATAGATTAATTTGTGGCATCAATGTAGCAATTTGTGGCCTCACTATTGTAATTCGTGGTCACGCCTTATTAAGAGATAATCACCATGTCACCTTAGCGCCTCGGGGTCTCCAGTGACCCCCGAGCCAGTTTACTATATGCTGAAAAAGTGGCTGATCTGAGACAAAACACTTCCAGCACTCCTTTCTGGGTGGACGTCACAGAATGTGCGTGCGTCCTTCGAAGTGCCCTAGGTAGGGTTCATGTCCGCAGATTGGAGCGCCTCCAGAAAGTCGGGACGTGCTAATCACATGGTCGGATGCGATTTCCTCCATCTTGGAGCCTGCGGAGGGATCCACGGCCAAGAGAGGACAAAATACATAACAACTTACCGCCCGAGCAGCGACAGACGAGCGCGCTCTGTAGACGAGCTGTTCCGCGGCGTCGCTGGTTCTCCTGCGCGGTCGGAGCCATGGTGCAGTCCTGCTCCGCGTACGGCTGCAAAAACAGATACCATAAAGATAAGGACATTTCATTTCACAAGTAAGTCCAACTTCGCCATCTCCACCAGGCTGAAGTTGGCTCCCCGTTCGCCAGCTTCATGCTCCGATTTTCCCGTTCCACCTTAAATGGCGCAGCAGTTACTGCAGCACTTAAGGTGGAACAGGGGAATTCGAGCGAGGAGCTGGCGAACAGGGAGCTGACTTTATCAGCTTCATGCCATCTCTGCCAAATGGCGTGATGTTGCTTTCAATTCCTGACCAAGAACCTGAAGATGGCCAGCCCTCTGCGTGCGGACATACAGCTGTACATCTTGTTCCTGCCTGAGAAGAATGTTGTGCTTCTGCTTCTGCTTCATCTTTCACTTTCTGAATGTTGTCCAAGTGGTCAGGGTTCAGAATGGTTTGCATGCTCTGCTCAAGTATTTCACAATCCTGGTCATTGAGTTCCCCTGCCTGCCCTGCGTGCTTTATTAGTCTATAGTGTATGTGCTCTCAGCAGGGTGACATTCACAGAGATACAGGATCTGCATTCAAGGTACATTTTGTAAAGGCAGCCTGTGTAATACAGTTATTTTTACATTTTTAGGAGAATATGTATAGAATACAAACTGAAAAGAAAACATACAGTCTTTGAAAGTAACACCGTCAATACTTATTTATTACTTTATTTAAATAAAGTCCAAAAAAAGGCCTTAATTAATGGCTTCTTTGCAAACATTAAAGTTCCTGTTAAAGCCTGAGTAGACTGATAAATCAATGTGATGATCAGTTATTAATCTCAGTGTTACTGAGCTCTGCTAAAGCCTGAGTAGACTGATAAATCACTGTGATCAGTTATTAATCTCAGTGTTACTGAGCTCTGCTAAAGCCTGAGTGGACTGATAAATCAATGTGATGATCAGTTATTAATCTCAGTGTTACTGAGCTCTGCTAAAGCCTGAGTAGACTGATAAATCACTGTGATCAGTTATTAATCTCAGCGTTACTGAGCTCTGCTAAAGCCTGAGTAGACTGATAAATCAATGTGATGATCAGTTATTAATCTCAGTGTTACTGAGCTCTGCTAAAGCCTGAGTGGACTGATAAATCAATGTGATGATCAGTTATTAATCTCAGCGTTACTGAGCTCTGCTAAAGCCTGAGTAGACTGATAAATCAATGTGATCAGTTATTAATCTCAGTGTTACTGAGCTCTGCTAAAGCCTGAGTGGACTGATAAATCAATGTGATGATCAGTTATTAATCTCAGTGTTACTGAGCTCTGCTAAAGCCTGAGTGGACTGATAAATCAATGTGATGATCAGTTATTAATCTGAGTGTTTCTGAGCTCTGCTAAAGCCTGAGTAGACTGATAAATCAATGTGATCAGTTATTAATCTGTGTTACTGAGCTCTGCTAAAGCCTGAGTAGACTGATAAATCAATGTGATCAGTTATTAATCTGTGTTACTGAGCTCTGCTAAAGCCTGAGTAGACTGATAAATCAATGTGATCAGTTATTAATCTCAGTGTTACTGAGCTCTGCTAAAGCCTGAGTAGACTGATAAATCAATGTGATGATCAGTTATTAATCTCAGTGTTACTGAGCTCTGCTAAAGCCTGAGTAGACTAATAAATCAATACAATGATCAGTTATTAATCTCAGTGTTACTGAGCTCTGCTAAAGCCTGAGTAGACTGATAAATCAATGTGATCGGTTATTAATCTCAGTGTTACTGAGCTCTGCTAAAGCCTGAGTAGACTGATAAATCAATGTGATCAGTTATTAATCTCAGCGTTACTGAGCTCTGCTAAAGCCTGAGTAGACTGATAAATCAATGCGATGATCAGTTATTAATCTCAGTGTTACTGAGCTCTGCTAAAGCCTGAGTAGACTGATAAATCAATGTGATGATCAGTTATTAATCTCAGTGTTACTGAGCTCTGCTAAAGCCTGAGTAGACTGATAAATCAGAGGCACTAGAAATCATGTGGGACATGAAAGAGACCAAAAGAACAATATTTTGGATAAAATCTGCACTTATTTAAATGATATTTGGTAACCTCAGTTATCAGCCCTCCATGCTGAAGAGCTCATGAAGCATAGACCTCAGTTACTTTGTGGAATGATTGTTGAAATTGCAGCACTGCTTACATAATCTTAGTTGAACGCTTGTGACAGTTTCTCATGTCTCATGTTGCTGATCTCACTAGGTTCCCTCTCGCGAGACCCGACCTCTGCGGGAAATGGGTGGCCGCCATGAAGAGGAGCAACTTCAAGCCCACGAAATACAGCAACATCTGCTCTCAGCACTTTACCAAAGACTGCTTCAAGCGAGAGTGCAACAACCGGGTGCTGAAGGAGAACGCGGTGCCTTCTCTTTTCAGTTCCACTAAACTGCAAATGAAGGTACAGGAATTCAGTAGTACACGTCCTGTTATGTGTTTATTGGTCATCCTTATCCTTGCCTTCTCAAATTCCAACCACCTATGCTCGTGGGTGTATTTTGGTTTTTCTGTCTGAATTTACATGCCCAAATCGTAAGGCAAATTCTTCAATAACTGCATGAAATAAATGTAATGTAAAAGTTCCCCTCAAATTAACAGAACATGTGTTTTATGATCATGAAGATATTTCTATATGCTTACAATTTACCGCTGAAAGCCAAAAATCTTAGATGCTTTTTGTATTTTTTTTTTTATAAAAGTAACTTTTACAGAGCAGATCACTGAAGAAACGCCATCTGAGATCCAGTTTACAGCTCAGATTTGTGGAAAAATGGGTCGACTTTCAGTAGAAAAAAAAAAAATTGTGAGTTCAGCTTCTTTTATTATAAGGGTTTAAAATTACATCACCCATCTATTTGACTGGAAAGAAGACAGTTACAGCTCTCATACGACCCCCACCTTTTGAGTGTAGGTTATAAAATGTGAATGTTATAAAGTAAAGAATATGGTGAAGTGCGTTTTGGAACCACCGGTGGTCCCAAGGAGTTAAAGAGGTTAATACCATTTGCTAATTAGCAAGCATTATGACCAGAGACAGCGCTATAGTGAGGATGACAGTCACCAGCTATCCCATTGTATTCAAGCGGTTACCAAATGATCCCATTACCGTAACTAGATGGGATAATACGTTTTTAGCATTAAACACAACACGCAGTTGCTTACCATGCAGTCAATACAGTTCATGCTTTAAAGAGTAACTACACCCCACTGTTTTCAGCTCCACCCCTGGCTCAACTTTGAAAAATGCTCAGTGATCTACGGGTTTGGAGGTGGGCCTGCGAGGGAAACCGGGTGGGCCAGGCTGCTGTGTTTTTAGAGCTAGCATACGTTAGCTACCAGAAAATATGGAGGGAGACAGAATCAAACAACACTTCTGAGAGTCTTACAAGGTTGAAGATTTTTCTCTACTACCACCCCCGTCTTCAACGAGGGAAGGTGTTTCTGATCAGGCAGTGAGTCTTGAGCCTTAACAGCATGAGCCGCTGACTCAAACTGCTGAAGAGTTCCCCCTTAAATTCACATTCCCTTCCATAAATCAAACCCTCGGCGCTGCACTCACTGAACAGAAATCAGCGGCAGGCAACACTGGAACTACAGAAAGCAGGGAAAAAGTTTGAGAGAGGCTGTACGGACGAAAGGTTGACACAGTCGGTAACAATGGCCATTTAACGTTAACCTTTCCTGAACCGTTTCACTTTTCGTAGTTTCAGTGCTGCTTGCCGCTGATTGGTCTGAGTTGTGAAGGGGAACGTGAATCGGATGCAACACCGGCAGCTCTATGGCGACTCCTTCAGGTTACTTAATCATACAATGAACATTATTAATAAATGTGCTAATCATAACATCGTTAATACAAACTAAAGTCAGATTAACTGGGTTATTTACAGTTGGTACAGACAGCTGGCGTATCGCAGCTTTGTGAGGTGGTGCTGGGGGTATTTAGCTCCAAATATTATAATAATATTATATACTAATTATAATATAATCCAAATCTTTACTAGTAAGTGTGGTTATCTCCGCTCTTGGCTCCTATGCGGCACGAGTAGGGCGTCATCAGGGGAGGTAACGTTGGTTGATACATCATCCGCACCTATAGCAGAGTTGAACCAGAGGGGGCACTGCAGAGGTGGAACTGACCACAATAAAAATTAAAATTTTTACAGTTTGGAAAGATGTGTTTACATTTCAAGCAAGGCTGGTGTTTATTATTATTACAGAGCAGTGCCTTTCAACTATTAATCAAAAAAGGTCTAAGGGTGGAGTTACTCTTAATTGTTGGTTACTATAACAACAGATAGTTGTAGACGGGTAAGGGCTGATTAACCACCTGCCTGCCTCAGGCAATTTCCCCTGCCTAAAATTTGTTAAGTGAACAAACTCTTAGAATTTGAAAATTTCACTCTTTTGTGCACAATTTTGCTATAAATTGCTCAGCCCTATTTAGAAGTTCATCGTTCAGCCCTTTTTACAACTTTACAAGGCCTGCCTGAATGCACCGTTATCAGGTTCTTGACTTGTGTTGGCAAGAAAATCACCAAACTGTGCTGGACTCTGTCTTGGTCCAGAACTGGACACACCTTCATTGTTACTTGCGCATGTTGAACGGCATCATGAATTCAGGCTCTTTTCCAATCTCTTTTATCTTACAGCCAGATTCACTGGAGGAAACGTTCATTCCTGAGATGGACTTGCCTCCGACTCTGTCCAACACGGACCAAGAGAAGCAGGAACCTCCAGACCCTGATCTTTCTGCTTCAATTCCAGCCCACGTTCCAGTTCCAGCTCCATCCTCATCTCCGGCTCCAGCTGCTGCCGCAGACGACGAGAGCCCAGACTTCAAGCCCAGCACCTTTGTCTCCTGCGACCACAACTACACAGTGGAGGTCACGGTCCAGCAGAAGAAACGCATCGACCAGCTTGAGGAGCAGCTAGATAAACTGCGCAAGAAGCTGAAGACGGTGCGGCAGAAGTGCCGGCGGCAGGAGCGGCAGCTGGAACGTTTCAAAGCCACGAGGAAGCTGCGTAAAACCGGCAAGGGCCTGACGCTGGGAGAGAGCTACGTCATTCTGCCCAAAGAACTCTTCAGCATCAAACGGATTGTGAGGGAGGGGGTGTCTCTGTGAAAAGGCCACACAAAGATACTGTATGTTTGAGATTTGAGGGGTTTTTTTTGTAGTTTGGTTTTGTCCCCCCTTGATAGCTCAAAGTATTGGGGTAGCTTTGATGTTTAGCTACAAGAAAACGTCTCCAAGCTGGTGGGGGAGGATTTAAGCCAGGGTTAAGAAATTTGCTGCTTTAATTATCCAGTTATATATGTCGCTGTCCTATCAAAACAAGTCTCGTAACTTTTAAACACCATTTGCCCGTTACATTTTGTGACAAGTGGACCAAAGTCATTCAGGCTACGTTCACATTACAAGCCTCGTTGCTCAAATCCGATTTTTTGCTCAAATCCAATCTCTCTGACACGATGGTTCACACTCGTTTAGGTAAGTGATTCAAATCTGTCATTAATGTGACGAACCGGCGTCCTGAAATGACCCTCATGAGCACATCCTACTCAGTAACGTCACGTGAATGAATCACGTTCATCATCAGCGCAAACTAACGAGCAGAACGAGCTTCGCTGAGAAGATAATTAACTCTGATCAGCTCTCAGCTTCATTATTAGAGCGAGACGAAGGAGAAAAAGGTGAGATGAGCTGCTTTTCCACCGTTTACAGGCTTTAACTTCTGTTCGGCGCTGCTGCCGTGGTAACGCTGAATGATGGCGCAGCGCAGTGGAAAAAGCACATGAATTCCAATCTGAGCGTCACATTAAGGTCACATGGCCACAAATCGGATACGTATCCGATCTAGGACCACATGTGAAAGTGGCTCAGGTTGGATTTGAAAAGATTAGATTTGTGTCCACACAGCTCTGAAAACATCAGATCTGCGGGCAAAAAATCTGATTTGTGCCACTTCATCCTGATAATGCGAACGTAGCCTCAGTTGTGGTTTTATGTGAAATGCGCCGTTTTAGAGGAACCTACCAATTTTTTTTTTTCTCTTCACAATGGTGGTGATAGGAACCAGACATCCAAAGCCTCTAAAAGCCACCTCACGAAAGGTTGATTCACAAATCGGTTATGCTGTCTGATGCCTAATACCTTGTTTTATGGTAGTTTAAGATAAGCTTTTGGCCTAAAATGCATTTATTTTAATCCATTCATGGCAGAGAGGTACATGCCGGGTGCTGTAAAACAAAATAGTCTCATTTATGACTGTTTTACCATCAACATTACATGTCGCTGTTGTCGGAAGAAAACCTCGTATCTGCAAAATGGTAACTTTACAGGAGAAGAAAAAACCTAGTTTAATTTTAATGTAAGTCAATGGAACCAGACTTTTTTCCAAGTCATTTTGGGTCATTTCTTTTGGTCCATTCCTTATGAAATTTACATACAATCTAAAGGGCAGCAGGTGTTTTCACATTGCGTCAGAAACTGGAAAAAGACCAAAATGGAGTTACGAGGTTTTCTTCTGACAGCAGCGATATAAAAACTAAGGCATGTGTTGGTTCATTGGTCATTTTGGATGGCAAATAAAATGGCCATAGTTATGCTGGATGCATTATGACACCTGGTTCCTGAAACCACCACTGTAAAGAAATCAAATCAAACCACTATGAATGAATTTACCTCTCAGTGATTGAGTTTAAAATCAGTGGAATTCCCATTTAATTTGCATTAGACATTGTTTTTCTTTCTCTTTTTAAAGTTACACTTTTGGAGATGGAGGATTTTGTTAAGACAGTGACCATATATCACACACTGAGTTCAGATTTGAACGAGTGACATTGCATTCTTTGATTTAGCTTTTGCAGAACATTCTACTACCATTAACCACATAGGGCACATTTCCTTTGCACAATAGCAGTTGAACTTTGTCAACTACTTAATAATAGGAATTACTCTATGTACAATCTGGACCTGTTATACTGAAAAAGTAGTTATAAAGTGGAGTTTTCCTGTTTTTTTTTTTGTTTGCTTTTTTTTCTAGTAAGGTCTATAGCACTTGTTGAAACTACTAGCATGTGCGAACCTGTTACTGGCGAGATCGGACCTCTTTATCCAATTTCTGCTCATGTTATTAGTTTTCTTTGGGTTAACATACTTGAACATTAGATACACCGATCAGGCTTAACATTATGACCACCTCCTTGTTTCTACGCTCATTGTCCATTTTATCAGCTCCAGCAGTGCTGCTGGAGTTTTTAAACACTGTGTCCACTCACTGTCCACTCTATTAGACACTCCTACCTTGTCAGTCCACCTTGTAGATGTAAAGTCAGAGACGATAGCTCATCTGCTGCTGCACAGATTGTGTTGGTCATCCTCTAGTCCTTCATCAGTGGTCACAGGACGCTGCCCACAGGACGCTGTTGGCTGGGTATTTTTGGTTGGTGGACTATTCTCAGTCCAGCAGTGACACTGAGGTGTTTAAAAACTCCAGCAGCACTGCTGTGTCTGATCCACTCAGACCAGCACAACACACACTAACACACCACCACCACGTCAGTGTTACTGCAGTGCTGAGAATGACCCACCACCCAAATAGTACCTGCTCTGTGAGGGTCCATGGGGGTCCTGACCACTGAAGAACAGGGTAAAAGGGGGCTAACAAAGTATCAGAGAAACAGATGGACTACAGTCTGTAACTGTAGAACTACAAAGTGCACCTATATAGTAAGTGGAGCTGATAAAATGGACAATGAGTGTAGAAACAAGGAGGTGGTCATAACGTTGATATGCCTGACCGGTGTAAGAACTGATTTGTTTTAAGGCATTCATTGTAGTCGTGACCATGAAAAGGCTGATATTGGTGGTGTTTCATCTTCAGTGCTGATTCAAAATGTGAAAATTATCGATCGTGGACTCCCAACGAGTAGCTCATACCTCTGAAACTTCGACTGACCAGAGACCATTTCCTTCGCGTTTCCTCTTTACTGGACTGTTCCATTGGAATGCTTTTCCGAAAAAGTTGTTCTTTTCCTTCCAGTCCTTTTCAGAAGAGGACGATACCTGTCAAAGAGAGCTTTCATCAGCTGACCAAGCTGGAGTACCTTACAAGCCGTACAAACCGATGCAGAAATTGACATGATGTTAATTTTCAAAGGGCTTTGTTTGTGGTTCTGTGGTGTCTGTAGGTGACCTAGTGATATTTATTGTTCCCTAAACAGTGATAATGTTTGAGATCAATGAAAGCCATATACACAGAAAAGAAAAGAAAAAAATATGCTTGATCTTTGGCTTGGAGTTGTTGGCTGAATCAAAGCTGCCTTACAGTCACAGTGTGGTCCCTAATCTGGACTGACTGTTTGAATACAGATGCATTAGATTAATCCCGTGTTTGTGTTTTAATCAAACACCCCATTTGAGCGCTGCATTTTTTCCCTCCTGCGCCTTCTTTTCGTTTTGTTACGTAACTGTTTTTGTCACTCGGCCATGCGTCAGTTTATTTCGTGGCGGATTCACACATCCTGTTGCACCATTCGGAAATCCAGAGTGTATTCAGAAGGCGTGGATGTAATCTTGGCAACCCTCTGACCAGCCTCGGCGTCCTGTAGTGAAACCAGTGAACTAACGCAGGGTTAAAGTGATGCTGCGGTGAAAGTTCTGATTTACTCGTTTAGCCAGCCGAGACGTGTTTGGTGTCTCTAGGCCTGTTTCGTTCCATAATCGCTTAGACGCTACTGTTTGAGATGATGGCGGTTTTTCAGGAGTGCAGTACATTTCCTCAGTCGTTAGATTTCTGCAACCAGCAAAATGTGAACTGAGTGTGATGAGTTAAATAAAATAATGCAAAGTAATAAAAAAGCTGCAAATGAATTCATGGAGACATGGTGCGTCTAATGTGGTGCTTTAACATGTTTAGAGGGCAATGCTGAGTGATGTTGGTGTGTTTGTTAGCTGCGCAGCTAATGCTCACTTTTTTTTTGGCTTATGTTTTCTTTTTCATGTAGCTTCCTAGATAGCAGGGATATGTCGGTCCACTGGCTTGATAAGGTCAGCAACCCACTGACTGTATGCCACTGCTGATCCATCCTCGGACCACCCAGATTACTGTCCTGCGTGCAAGGTCCGACAAAAAAAAGTGAGGAAAAATCAGTTTTCTACAGAGCCCCACTGGAGACGTCCCATATAAATAAAAATAATGTGTGGCAACGATTTGGTGAGGGGTGGGAATGAGATAATTAAGTCATGGCCATGACTTAGAAAGGCATGGGAGCAAGATCATGCCTTACTAAGTTGTGGCCATGCATTAGGATCTCATTCCTATGCCTTACTAAGTTGTGGCCATGCATTAGGATCTCATTCCCATGCCTTACTAAGTCATGGCCACACCTTACTAAGTTGTGGCCATGCATTAGGATCTCATTCCTATGCCTTACTAAGTTGTGGCCATGCCTTAGGATCTCATTCCCATGCCTTACTATGTCATGGCCATGACTTAATTATCTTGTTCCCATGCCATACTATGTCGTGGCCACACCTTACTAAGTTGTGGCCACGCATTAGGATCTTATTCCCATGCCTTACTAGGTCATGGCCATGCCTTACTAAATTGTGGCCACGCATTAGGATCTTATTCCCATGCCTTACTATGTCGTGGCCACACATTATTTTTATTTATACAGGATGTCACCAGCGGGGCTCTGTAGTTCTCCATGATTGTCGTAGCTGCCCATGAGCCAGATTGTATAATCTCTGTCCAGTGAAGACCCTGGGGGTCCTGCCACGCTACAGGCTCCAGTGTGACTATCCCACCTGCACTGCTGGAGACAGTAGATTATAAGGCACCTCATTATCTTCCTGAACAGAGGTGCCTCTCTCTTCCTCTCAGCTCCTGAATCTGTCCATCTTCCTCTTCCTTTCACATGGTCTTTCTCACCGCCCCCCCAATCCCCCACCCCCATTCCCTGACCTCGTTTTTGAGCAGGCCACCACGGCTCATGCCATCACTCTTCTGCATTGGTGGTCTCCTGCCTTCTTGCTTTTTTTTGGCCTTTATATCCTGTCCCTCCTCCTCTTTCTGCTTGTCCTCTTTTTCTTCACTTCCTCCAGATTCTTGTGGCTGCCCTCGGGCTGAGCGTAGAGGCCTACCTGGTTCAGGTCTTTGCCGCTGCAGTGTTAGTGGACTCTGCAGTCTTCCATGTGGTGCACACACAGTATTGACCTTTTCCCTGCTTTGACATGCCTGATTCGACTCAGTCATTGGTCAGCATGCTCTTTGGGGCAAATGCTAGTGTTACTGCTTAGAAGCCGAATATCACATCCTGTGGTGGGCGAAGTACACAAA